TGTTATAAATAAAAAGTTATATTTCCAAACTTAAACCAGTAGAAGGATCCTCTCTCTGTTCCTCAGCCTAACTGGATTTGTTTAATTTTTTTTTTTTGTGTGTGTACCAGAGGGTTATAAGTAGGGATGCACCGATCCACTTTTTTTTTTTTATTATTCCGATCCGATCCCGATACCTAGAGCTGAGTATCGGCCGATACCGATACCGTTCCGATATCATGATCATCATTGATTTTATATGAGGCTGTAATAATCTCCTCTCAAGTACAATTTGTACAAATAATGCATGCATGTCCAAAAAGGCAACTTGAGGTAAGTTTTATTAATGTTGGATAAGTTTTAAAGTTAGAATTAAATTCTGCTAACACAAAACATGTTTCTTTTTAATCCTAGCTTTAAAGTGGATATTAAAGTGATTAATTTAAGTGATTGTTTAAAGTTGTTTTATATTTTATAAGAGGCAGATATAAGAATTTTTTCTTCTTTCTGCACTCTTTTCATTCAATGTTTTCTGTTTGATGATTTAAAAAAAAATTTTGTTTCATTTAAATGAATGAATTAAATTAAATCTTAAATGGCTTCAAACATCTGCTAAATTCATGGCATAAACCAACAGACATGTTCCTGTTTTTAGTATTTTGCATCACTTTATAATGTAGCTGTTAATGTTTTTAATATATATAATTTTCAAATCATGTTTTTTATGATTGTCTACTGTTGTACTGATAAATATCTCCTGGAGGGTAAACTATATCTTGTCTGCAAGTATCAAACTGTGAAATCTTTCGTTTTCTACAACTGATAGTGGTTGGTCATTAATTATGATGAAGTTTAGCAACTTCTCTGTAAACATTTGAGCTCCGTGGTTTCAGCGACGTCTACTTCTTGTTCAATTCGAAGCAGGCAGCCTGATTTGGGACAGCCGCGCTCAGTCTGTCCCTCCTCAGAGACGGGCAGACTGAGCGGGGCAGATTAGACGCGGCTGACGGGGTCGAATTGGCCATCCCGGGTTGAGCAAAGAGCAGCGCCCCGCTGAAGCCACGGAGCTCGAATGTCCATCGTAAAACAAACTTTAACGTGGTTTAACGTGGCGCTATGGTTCTGTAGACATTGCACGTTGCTGTCTTGTTTTGTGGTGTTTCTAATGTAAAATACTTCCACACAGCGGACATGTTTAGATGAAAAAATGGTTAGCTGCTAGCCACAGTGCTGCTAACTCAGTCCTCACGTTGTAGATGGCTGCAAACTATGAACTGGATTTCCTGAATGTGAGGCGGGGCTTATTACTGTGGGTTCGTGAGACAAGCCGCCGTTCAGGAAATCCATTCCGTAGTTTGAAGCCAACATGCATCATGGATCGGAAATATCCGCAGGTGGATCGGAAAATCCGAAACAGGAAGGAAGGAAGGAAGGAAGGAAGGAAGGAAGGAAGGAAGGAAGGAAGGAAGGAAGGAAGGC